ACCATTTTTCTCCCAGTTTAACTGCAGCAGTACAGCCTAATACAGTCCTCAAATACCTAATAATTATGAGAGCATTCTGGGATGGGAAGAAAAGAGTTTGAAATAATGGTGCAGCAGGGTGGGGCGTTATCGCTCTTCTGACCTACACACTCATTTTCATGCGAGAATACACTCATGGCTGCATGTGGTGTGTGCGTGTAACAGATACACAAATGTGGTTGATCCCTTTTTCTTGTGTATTTTAATTGTAACCATAGATAGTAAGTCATGGGCATGGTCTTGTTGTATTTTAATATTTATTCTGGAGCACCCAGGACAACCCAGAGGCATTAACAAATCAATACTAACAGCAACAGAGACACAGTGTGACAGCGAATAAGCAAAGCAAGTAATAATATCAAGCATATCCAGTAAAGCACATTTGACTAATTATGTCAAAATTTGATGGTGCTACATACTACACAAAGGGACTTGAATACAATAGAGGACTTAGACAAATGGAAATTATTTCTGCTGATTTTATCTCCTGCTAGAGATCTGTCATTCTGTTCCTGGGCATCCCTTGTCTCTAAGGAGAAATGTGGGTATTTTGGGCTGCAGCAAGATGAGGAGGCAAGGAAGCTCCACTACAGTGACTGAATTTGCTTCACTGAATCCAAGTGTTCTCTCCCCCCCCCCCATTTGATTTGATTTGCAACCTGTTCTACCCCAAATATATGAGATGTGATTGGGAGTGGATGGGTTACAGACAATAAAAGAGAAAAAATATAGTTGAGGAAGATAAATTGGAGAAAAGAAAAAGGTTTCAAAAATCCCATTTCTATTGGCTGAGAATGGTATGAACTTGAATAGATTGGTTGTTACTTAGCTTGCCTGTGACAGGCTCAGTTGGTGAGTTACTTGGGGTACAGTACAGTGTGCTAAAAATATGTAATGTAAGCCAAATGGGTAGGACCATGTATCAGAAGTGACCAGTGAACTCCCACAAGTAGGTAGAAAAATACCTTATGACAGAGACAAAATCTTAATTCCCTTTTAAAGTGATGCCTTTTCCATTAGAATATATTATTTTATATTAGCTCTTCATCCAGCTTGCCATAGTTTAAACATACAAATACCGTTCTGTTAAAGAACCAAGTTAAAAGGATTTTTAATATGCATTGCACCAGCTTAAAACACACTTTTGGTACCTTATATTAACCTCTTTTTAATAGTGAACTTCTGTTGTAGTTTGCAAAGACATAACATAAACCCTAACCAATTAAAAGATAATAGATGAGGTGTGCATACCATGCCTTCTTTCCTCTGCTGTAAAGTTCCCTGTCTTTGTTTCCTGGGCACAGAAAATGAAATATATTTTTTAAAAAGCAATTGTGTAGAAGGAGTAGGAGGACAATTTAGAGAACAGTTCCAGACTATTTCCCCCCCAAATTAACAGAACTACAAAGAAAACTGTTTCCATTGCACAGCATGCTTAGGTGATTAAAGATGAATCTGATCAATTTTTATCGGAAATAGAGTATGATTCATGTATATCTGGAAATCGATTACTATCTTGACATGTGTGAGGAGCTATGGCTAATCAAAACCAGGAAAAAACCATCCTAATGAAAGGAAAATATTAAATTATTTTGTTTCTACAGTAAATCAGTATGGCATGTTGAAACCAATTGTCTTCAACTACATTCTGCACCACAATGATAATAAGAATAGAGTATGCATTATTTATCTACTGTATCTGGCTATAGTACAACTGGCAAACATTTAATTGAAAACCCTCTCCTGGCAGGAGAGTTTATAAGAAATTTGTTTGTGCCCTTAATGCCTGGAGAGGGAAAAGAAAATTTAATCTGCAGTAAAGAAGTTCTAAAATTTTCACTGAATTTTGAGGGTTGCTCAAAATTGCCTTTGCTGGTTGGCAGTAGGGAGCACAGTAATTTTCAAAACATTCTTCAATATGGTTGCTGGAACTGGGCAAGAGTCAGGGCTATTTTTGGGGCAGGAACGCATAGGAACGGAGTTTCGACTGGCTTCAGAGTTGGCCACACCCACTACAGCCAAAACTTCTGCATGCATGGCTACAGAGGGAAGGCCTGGAGAGTGACCCCCCTGTTGACTCTGAGGCGGGCGGGCCAGGGGGGCCCTGGAAGGTTCGGGGAGGCATTTAAATGCTTCCCCATGCCTTCCCCGGCCTGTCCAAGGGCTGGCTTGCCCAGGCTTCCCGCAGCAGTGGGATGCCCAGGCAAGCCAAGGGAATGCAGTTTAAACTGCTTTTCCTTCCCTTCTATGGGGGTTTGCCCCGGCTCCCCGCAGCCGCAGAGTGCCCGGGCAAGCCAAGGGAAGGCATGGGTGTGTGGCCTAATATGCTAATGAGCTGTGCTGTTAGGGGTGTGGCCTGATATGATAATGAATTTCTGCTATTGAGTGTGGCCTGTAATGCTAATGAGTTCCTGCTGGACTTTTTCTACAAAAAAAGCCCTGAATAAAGAAAAGCTGTCACCTACTAGGGTTGCCAGCCCCCAGGTCCAGGTGGGGTTTCCCCCCACTTTGGGGGGCTTCAGTTCACCCCCAGCCAGCTGCTTGGTGGGGGAAGCCCCGCCCCCTAGAGTAACCACCCATCCGGCCACCCCTCTCACTCCCCTCCTGCCCGATGATGTAAAGGGCTTCAGCTGATTGGCGGGGACCATGTGGCCTGCCAACCAGCTGGAGGGCCCTTTAAATCTAGCAGGAAGGAGGGAGGGAGAGGGGTGGTTGTGGGCCACGCGTTCTGCTTGCAGAAAAACCCTTTAAAGGGTCTTTGTGCAAGTGGGGTGGGGGCTGCAGCACACAGGGTTGGGGGAATTTTTTTAAAATGTCTTTTGTGTGGATGCAGCCCTGGATTAGGATCCAAGTTGTTGGGAACTACTTAAACCTCAGTTTGGAAAAGCACTCAAATTTGAATGTCACAACAGATTAGAATTGCGGTGAAGACTCCTAAAACCATGAAGACTTCAGTCATGTCTCAGTACATGTGGGGAAGAAATAGGGATTTGAGGCTTATTCACCTGACTACAGCCTGGTTGAAACAAAGGATATCTTCCACTTGAGCTTCATTAGATTGTATGCTTATTAACAGGAATTTGGGACTGGAACATTCAGAATAAGTACCTGCTTCAGGGGGGAAAAACTGCTGTGATGATTGCTTGACATTCTTGTTCACTCTGGTTCAAAACACTTGTTGCGTTCCCATTAAGTGATTCTTCACCATCCATGCATTATTTCTGCTGTGCTGCTCCACTGCAGCTCAGAGGAATAAGAATCAAAACAGTTGTTACAGATTCATGCTGATAAGATAAAGAGTAAAGGTGAGTGATAAAAGGGGAGTGCTGCTTAATATTTTGTCTTGAATGCCCTTGTGGTTTGTGTTAGATGTATATATGTTTAAGAATTTATGCCGCCTAGAAACTGTAATCTACACTTTTTATAAGACATAATGCAACTGGGCTGGTATAATAATGCTGTATTGTGCATGGATGGACTGCTCAGAAATAAACCCTATTTTATTGAATGAGGCTCATCTCAGGAAGGTGCTTTTAGGATTGCACTGATAGTCTTCTAGTCTGTCCTTAGATGAGCTTTCATGTATTGTCAACACAGACTTTAAATATGGCTGGTTTGTGGAACCAGGATTTATGAAACTCAGGTACTGGTTTGCTTCAATAAGTACTGTTTTCATTGAATTTGCTCTGGCCAGGCTTGTCTATAGCCAGGGAATATGTATGGGTGACACCAAGGATCAAGCCAGGATTATGTCAGAACCTGAAATTTAGGACTGTCTGTGGATAATAAACCATTTTTGAATCATGGTTTCAGATACTGATTTGATTGACCCTAACTAACCAGTTTGTGGAGTGGCTTGCATTCTGACTGACTGCTAACTATGTATGTGCTTGGCTGCGATCACACACACTAAATAATCCACTTTCAATCCCCATTCAGTGCACTTCCCAACTGGATTTTACTGTGTGAACTGGCAAAATCCAGTTGGAAAGTGCATTGAAAATGGATTGAAAGTGGATTATTTAGTGTGTGGGATCGCAGCCCTTGAGTGTTATGTGCCATCAAGGCGCTTCTGACTTATGGTGACCCGACTTATGGTGACCCTGTGAATTAATGACCTCCAAATTTCCTGCCATTGACAGTCTTGCTCAGGTTGTGCAAACTGCGGGACGTGGCTTCCTTTATGGAGTCAATCCATCTCAGGTCTTCGTCTTTTCCTACTGCCTTCAACGTTTCCTAGCATTAGCTTAATTAAACCGTGGTTTTGTCTTATGTCTGAATCAAGCCTCAGTCAGTTGTTTTTTAAACTGTAAGTTTAGCGTTCTTATTTTCTTTCCTTGCCAAGCTGGTTGCTTCTGTTTCTAGTGTTGTGTAGTGTTTAGAAGTCACACCAGGATCTGGGAGACCCAGGTTATTATCCCCACTCTTCCATGGAAGCTTGGTGGGTGCTGTTGGGCCTCACACACTCTCATCCTCACCTGCGCTGAAGTTTTGTTGTGCAGGTAGTATAGAGGAGGAGGATGTAAGCCACTTTGGTTCCCCATTGGATTTAAAAGATGGTAAAAGTGAATAAGTAAGTGAATAAATGATCACATCTTGTCTTCTGCAAGAGATATTGGTTAGAGGGGAGAACCATAAATACCGAGTCATTTGTTTGTGGTTTATAAAAATCGTGTCTTGCCTTAATTCATGCATGCTTGTGTAAGTACATGGAGACTCCATTAATAGCTAGGGCTACCACTGAGTTGATTTTTGAGTTGCTTTCATTAATGGTTGTACCTTTTAGCTCAATATGGACCAATCTTATTTACAAGTCTTAGTTGCTGTTCCGGGTTTGTTTTTTGTGTAACCATTAGATCCATGACTTATAGCAGAAAATGAAGCTTTGCAGTGAGAAACAGTGAAGTATTTTCCATATTTTCAGCATCTTGTTAACATTCTGGTTTCTTTTATCTTTCCAGTTTGACGGAGAGAACATGTATATGGGAATGAATGACAATAACCAGGAATTCCTCTCACCAAATCAGGTAAAACAGTACTTATGCAAGTGTGTGTGGTGGATTATATAGGGTATTCAGCAACACTAATTGCCTTCACGTGTCAGTTGTAATGAAATTACATGTACGTAGCTGAGGACGCAGAGTTGTGCAGAGCTGTAAAAGGAAAGTGTCAGATAGGATTTCAGAATACTTTCCCTCAAAATGACTGCAAAAGTTATACAGTATTTCCCATCATTTCAAAGTAAAATTATATGCTACACAGAATATCTGAGTTTTATGACTGGATCTGCTGGTGCATTTTTAACATTAAAAAGCAGTGGGGTGGCAATTTGGATGAAGGCTGTGTGGTACTGTGAGAAAGTAATCTTTTTGTCCTGCCCCAAGCCACTATTAGCCTGCTAACCAGTGGTCCATCTAGTCCAGCATCCTGTCTCACACTATGGCCAACCAGTTCCTCTGGATGGCCAATAAGAGGTCATAGGGGCCAAGGCCTTCCCCTGATGTTGCCTCCTGGCTCTGGTATTCAGAGGCTGACTGACTCTGAACATGGAGATTCCCTTTACTCATCATGGCTAGTGGCCAGTGATAGACCTATCCTCCATGAATCTATCTAATTCCCTTTTAAAGCTGTCTGTGCCTGTGGTCATCACTAGTACTACATCCTCTGGCAGCGAATTTCACATTTTAATCACTCTCTGTGTAAATAAGTATTTCCTTTTGTCCATCCTGAATCGACCCATGGATTCAGATACACTGAATAAAACTTTGTTGGTTTTAAAGGTGCCACTGGACTCTGTGTTTTGCTGCTTCAGAGCAACATGGCTACCCACCTGAATCTATAGACTCCTATTATACTTTTTCTCCCTTACCTTCACTAGTAGCAGCTTAGAAGGGCTGTTGTATTGAGAAATGATAAGTGATGAGGGAAGGGTTAACCCAGTGCCAAGGCCCCAATCCACATCCCCCCAGTGCTTCTTTTAGCATTAGAAATGTGCTCCCAGTGCCAAGGCCCCAATCCACATTCCCCTTCCAGTGCTTCTTTTAGCATTAGAAATGTGTTTGTTATTATCATCAACATTCTTTTTGTGAGAGTAGAGATGAACATTAATGGTTGAAGACCTTTCAGCTTTCTAGAGACTACATGTTCATTGCACCTGTTTGTGATGCTTTTCTGGCCTGGGGTGGAGTGGCTTACTTTTGACAACAGTGTCTTCTGTGGCTGAAGTCTTTATGTACTGGTTTCCTGGCCCTGGAAGAGCAGCAAATGTTAGTTTTAAATCCAGGGGGGCTGACATATGAAAGTATGGATTGTTGGGGTAGAAGAAGTATTATCAGAGACTTCTAGCTATGTGTTAGCTGTGCACATTGCTGTTAGAGGCCTTTGCTGTTAAGATTCACTGGCTAGGAAAGCAACATGTACAACCACAGGAGAAACCTGCCTACTCCAGCTTGCTCTGAGTGTGCTATTTGTCCAAATACATTTGGTATTTGGCCTAGATGAACAGACAAGTATCAGATATTTACAGATTTGCTATCTTTATAAGTAGAATTTGATGGTGCCTGGGGGTTGACAGAAGACTGTAAAATACAATTCATATACTGTAATAGTCATTATACAAGCTGGGGCTTGTGAGGAATTGCAGGAGGACAAAGCAGCTTTGAACTCTTATCTCACCTCCTCAAATCTTCCCCTCCAAGATTCTGTAAGCTCTCAAGGGGTAGAGTAGGCTGATTTCTTCTCCCACCCCTCTTATCCTTTAACTCTCAACATTCTGCCCCTTCTGGAGCATATTTAGTCTCATCAGACTTTTTTTTTCAGAATAGGGTTGCTTTTTTCTTTCCCCCCTTTTGGTTTAGTTCTACAAAGTCATATTTTTTAAAAAAATTAAGTGTAAGTGCAAACAAAAGAATTTCAACATCTAAATAACATACAACGCAGAATTTTAACAGAGTAACAAGCCAAATAGGCTAACATAAGCTTCAGAACAGAAGGGATAATGATGCAACAAGAAGGTATCACGCGTTGCCTGAGAATACTATATACTGGTATGGACATAAACATGAGCATGAACATGAATAACTAGGGTCATCTAGAGTGCTGTGTTGTCAAAGATTCAAGAGTATTGCTTAGTTAAAAATGAAGCCATGATGCAAAGTTTGGATTTTTTGGCAGGAGAGTCATATTTTTGTGCATACCTGGGAAGTCCCTTGAGTATGCAGCATCCCCAACATTCTGTGTGGGTGGTCTGTTTTGCAGTTTACACTATCCACACAGGGGTCAGTCACATTATTGTTAGGTATTGTGATATTTTAATTTTGATCAGACTGTGCTGTAGGAAAGTATAAACATAGCATAACAAAATCTTGCATGAGGATTTATATCTGGCAACAGAATATTGTAATCCCCCCCCCCCCCCCCCGGGGGGCGGAAAGGGGGAGCTGATAACTGCTTTCCGGGACAAGGTTGCAATATGTTCTTGCTACTGTGACTGTTGTGGCAGGCACCTTGTCTTGTCCATATATCTGAATTTGTAAGTGAAGTGTTTGTTTCACATGTAGATCAGAGATTGACTGTGATGTAAAATGAATGTTAAACCAAAGACAAGGAGAAAAACGGATGTTTACCCTCAGAAGTAAGATACGTGAACTTGTCAGATATGGTGGAGTGAGACATACATCCAGTCCCAAGGTTTCTACAGAGGGAACAAATTATGACTGCTGTCAAAGGAAAGGTTTAGCGTTCTAAGGGAGAGGGAAAATGCTTGTTAATGGTAAAATTATAAAACAATTTGGAGCTTGGGCATTTTTCGAAAAAATTATTTAACAAGTGAAATAAATTTATTTTATTTTTTATTTATTTTTGGATTTATATCCCGCCCTCCCCGAAGGCTTAGGGCGGCTAACAACGAGGCACAAGTGCCAGAATTAAAACAGATAAAACAGTCTAAAACCATAAAACAATACAGTACAACAACAAAGTGTCAGTGCAAGATGGGGTAGATCTTAGTTGAATGGCATTGGTCCCGCAACTTGTCATCCCCTCTCCTTCCAGGGTCACCTTGCACCCAGATGGAACCACATATTGGTGGTAGTGGTGCGATGCTGCATACATATCGGTGAATGGAATTATAGTGGCGCGGCTCCTACTCGAAAGCCTGGCGGAAGAGCTCTGTCTTACAGGTCCTGTGGAACTGAGAAAGGTCCCACAGGGCCCAGATCTCCTCCGGGAGCTCCTTCCACCAGGTAGGAGCCGCCACCGAGAATGCCCTGGCTCTAGTAACAGCAAATTTAACATCCCTGGGGCCTGGAATTTCCAGGAGATGTTGACTCCCCGACCGTAGTGCCCTTGGGGGAACATATGGGGAAAGGCGGTCCCTTAGGTAAGCCGGACCCTGGCCATACAGGGCTTTAAAGGTAAGAACCAGCACTTGGAAGTGGATCCGGTACGCTATTGGTAGCCAGTGCAGCGCTTTCAGCACAGGCTGAATGTGATCCCTCCTAGAGAGACCCATCAACAGCCTGGCTGCAGCATTCTGCACTAGCTGCAGCTTCCGGATCTGCGACAAAGGCAGCCCCAAGTAGAGAGCGTTACAGTAGTCTAACCTCGAAGTGACCGTCACATGGATCACTGTGGCCAGGTCATCGTGGTCAAGGAAGGGGACCAACTACTGAGCCAGCCAAAGATGATAAAAGGCTGACTTGGCAGTGGCTGCCACCTGGGCTTCCATCGTTAGAGAGGAGTCCAGGAGCACACCCAAACTCCTAACCTCCGGCGCTGGCACCAAAGGCACCCCATCGAAGGTCGGGAGTGGGAGCCCCTACCTAAATCGGTCCGACTCAGGCCTTGGCTATACAAAATGCATTTGCAATTTAAATTCAGGTTTGAGTGCATAATTTATGTATTTATTATTTTAAAAAAATAAATAAGGGAGCAATTGATATGGCAGTCAGGCAAGTTAAGGAGCACTGGTCTCTTTCAGCTTATGTGTGTGTGTGGGGGGATCGGTCTTATTCTATCCTTAAAAATTGTTCATCATTGATTACTCCATTCTAGCAGTTGATGTTATCAAAATAATATTTACTATATTTGTGAAAGCAGCTAAACTGCCTTGGTCATTGTGCAGATCCTTGCCTGTAGGCTCACAACCTAAGTAAAAATGCAAAATAACAGAAAATGGATGTTGAAAGAAAAGGAGAACTTCATACTTTCTGGATGAAGCTACAAACTATTCAGAAACCAATCTCTCAGCAGTTTTTTTCTGCTGCCACTCAAAGGATCTCTTCTTATGGAGAGGCCAAGGAGCAGTTTCATTAGTTCCTTGGTTAATTTCTTTCTCTGTTCACTTAAAATTCTTCTGCAAAGCCCCCTAGGGTTAAAAAGATTGCTCTTTAATTTTGAGATAAGCTTGGAATAGCGGCATCCAAGATGGGGGTGGAGTTAAGTCTGTAAATGATCACTGTTCTGGGTAAGGCACCTCACCCCTCAACATCTTTCACATATTAAGATGTACACTCTGCTCTTTTCTTCAAATATCCCAGCACTGTTTTTGCTATGCACTCTGAGCACCATGGGAAAAGATCAGTAAAGCTTTGCTTTTGCTGTTCATTTCTTTAAAAAACAATGAGGTTGGATTCTACCCATTCGTCTTATCAGTTCCTGCACATTCCTTTGGTATAAGGACTGGCATCAGTAGAAGGGACCTGTGGTGGAGGAATGCATGAATGTTAAAGTCAATTTCCATTGTCTGTTCTCAGTTGCAAGGATATGAACAGATATATCCCGCCTACTGTTTATTTTTCTTTAACCATCATCACAGTTCTCTTAACTTTAGGCTGTGGCTGCATTCTGTCCTCATAACAGCTTGGGACAGGATGCCCTTTTATAAGCTAGTTATACTGCACAAGAGCTCATGGTGGTTAAAGTTGAGTTGGTGTTCAGTATGAGAATGAAAACAGCCTTTTAAAAATTGTGTCCATTACCATGTAGCTTTTGTAGGAATTCTTAATGTTTCCACACAAGAAGTTTG